ACACGGGGTACCCATGGCCAACAGTGCACCCAGTTCCCCCCTCCGAAATGAGGGTGCTCTGCAGCGACCCGGCACCCCGCAGGCCTCCCCCAGTACCCCACGTCCCCAGGGGCTGCTCTCCGTCATCCAGAGGCTGAAGGGTTCCCCGGAGCAGGAGCTCCGCATCGTCCTGCTGGGGCTGGACAACGCGGGGAAGACCACGCTGCTGAAACGCCTGGCGTCCGAGGAGGTCAGCACCATCACGCCCACCCAGGTAGGTGCCGCTGGGGGCCATGGGCAGCAGGAGGGTGGCAGGTCCTACCCTCCCCTTGGGTGATGCTGGGGTTCGTGTCCCCACGCAGGGCTTCAACATAAAGAGTGTCCACTCGCATGGCTTCAAGCTAAACGTCTGGGATATCGGCGGGCAGCGCTCCATCCGCCCGTACTGGAGGAAGTATCTGGGCAGCACAGACCTGCTGGTGAGTGGAGCGGCTGCCCGCAGCCCACCGCGGCCCCGCGTGCGGAGAGCCGTGCCTTCTGCGCAGGGCCCTGTAGCCCAGCAGAGCCCTGTGGCCCCCGCAGAAGGCAGAGGGCTGTGCAGCCGGGCAAGAAGGAGCCGATGACTGTCCCTTTTGTCCCCATGGCAGATTTATGTCATTGACAGCGCAGACCAGAAGCGTTTCGAGGAGACCGGGCAGGTATGAGGAGTCTGGGCAGGGGGGTGGCTGTGGGGCCCTGGGGCTTGGACCCGGCTGGCTCCAGCTCTTTGAGGACTGGAGCGGAGAGCGAGGCTGCTCTCTACCGTGGGGCAGCACCGCTGTGGGGGCCACGCTGTCCCCAGAGCTATGTGGGAAGGGCTTGTGATCGGGGGGTCTCAGCACCTAGAACCACCCCACGGCAGATCTGTGCCCAGCAGCTCCCCCCGAGCTGGGTGTGATACCCCAGGGGTACCTGACATGGGGGTAACTCTGACCCTGGTGAGAGCGACCCCTCGGTTGCCAGCCTCGCGCCCTCCTCCCACCTCCCCAGCACCAGGTTAGTGATACGACCAAGCAAAGGTTTACGAGTAGCAAATTCAGAGTTACAAACCCTGGGAATGAAGCCGGAGAGGGGAAGGTGAGACTCCGAGTGCCAGTCTTGGCTGTACTGGCACCAGATGGCAACATGGCTGTGCCAGACAGCATGGGGCTGACAGCAGCCTCCTGTAGCTGCCCTTTGCCCAAGGCTCTCAGTGCCGGGAGTGCTTCAGCCCTCAGGTAGTACTGCGTGCGGCTCCCGGGCTCTCTTCAGGGCAGATGGAGCTTCAGGGGTGTGTGACTCTCCCTCAGGATGTTGAGACCTCACAGCTTCTTTGGCTGTAATAAAAGCACCAGACAGAGGGGAGTGAGGCACTCTGCGGGTCTGAGTGCCCCAGCCCGCCCTGGACAGCTCAGGCAAGCAGCCAGGCAGCTCTGTGGAGGAGGGCAGCAGTGGGCAGCAGCCCTGGGAGACAGTTCTCTCTTGGCAGGAGCTGGCAGAGCTCACCGAGGAGTCGTCCCTCACGGGCGTCCCGCTGCTGGTGTTTGCCAACAAGCAGGACTTAGTGACTGCAGCACCTGCAGCCGAAATCGCGGAAGGGCTGAGCCTCCACACCTACCGGGACCGGGAATGGCAGATCCAGGCCTGCTCAGCCTTGTCTGGGGAAGGAGTGCAGGTAGAGAGACAGGGGCCTGTGGGCTCTGCAGAGGTGGGAGAGGACCCGAGGACCTGCTGTGCTCTTGGGGCTGTGCTCATGTCTCTCTCTTCCCTCCAGGATGGGATGAACTGGATTTCCAGCCAGATCATGAAGAGGAAGAAGTGAGAGCTGCGAGGTGCCAGACTGGACTGAGCTGCAGGTCCCTAAGCCATGGCCAATCCCCCTGGTCCCCAGACTTCCTCCGAGGGCTCAGCTGGGCCCTGAGCCTCAGATGCCATGCTCAGAAGGGCTTCCTACCCAGTCTTTCACTAATCAGTCGGCTTCCCCCCTCCCTGCCTCCTGGGCTTCCACGGGCTCCTCGTACCCCCCAACCCTCCTGCAGCCCCAGTGCTCGGAGGGAAGCACACGTCCCGTTGTGTCAGGGGCTTGCACGCCTCCAGAACAAGATACCTGCTCAGGACTTGTCCATCCACGCTGTAAGCACACCCCGCAGAGGCTGCTGCAGCACGCACACTGGCCAGGGCACGCTGGACACCCCACCATGGTACCAGCTACATCCTCAGACGTGGCACGTACAGCCAACCGAATGGTGTGTATTCCCCTCCGCTCCCGTAGGATGTGACTGGTGCTGCCCCAGCCACGGCAGCTGGCTCGGGAAGGCCTCGGTTCAGTATCTTTTGCTGGCCAGAGGAGCTCCCATGTGTGCACGGGACCTGGGACAAGCAGGAAGACACAGAGAGGACCTGGCCGTGCAGTCACCAATGGAGGGGTTTCATTGCCTGGTGACGGCCTTGGCTGCAGCCATGCTGCGCCTGCCGCCGAGAGGGGCTGCTCTGCAAGAGGCCCTGGGAAGCGCGTTGCCCTAAACACACCCAAACTGGGGCTTCTGTTGCCCCACTGAAGATGCCCATCCCAAGGGCTGGAAGATGCAGCTGCC